TCTTCCATGTGTCTCAGCTTTACCGCTCGAATATCGGTGGTAAGTCTGAAGGCTTCTAACTGTAAAAATCACATAGCTCATTGTGTTGCTTTCTGCTTAACGACCAACAAAATTAGTGAAGTAAATTTTCCTTCAGTAGATTTAAATATATTACTTCATTAAAAACTATTGTGATTTGGGAAATCTACACTGTAGCTAGCTAGGATATGTCTCTGAAACTAATGAATTTCACCCAGAACTGGCTTCTTTTCCTGTAATAGAAATATTCCATTCTTACATGAAAGTGCACCGTTGCCACATATGTAAAAATATATTCTTTTCTGCATCATATTCTAATCATTGCTGTACTTTAAACTGTGTTTTTCTTATCTGACTTGTGTAGGTTTCAGCTTCCTTGATGTGCCTTGGTGGCTCACTGGTAAGACTTGGGGATTATAACACTAAAAATTAGGTTTCAGTACTGACTGTCAGTGAAGCATGACTTATGTAACTATTTTGCTTAACTATAGACTTTTCCTCCAGTGGATCAGCAGTAGGTTTACAGACTTACAATTTTAAAATCGGGGTTTAAACCCCCACAGTAGACAGAGTGCAGATAACCCATTGTTTAGCTTTGTACTAAGAAAGTAACAGCTTTCTTTACTGTAGGTAACATTATGAACATATTGATAGCACTTGCCAATTTATCATTTATGAGCCTCAAAATAAAAATAAGCTGCTACAGTTTTCAACCAACTAAAAACACAATTTATACATAATTACAAACAAGAATCTAACACGTGAACCTCCTACTTTCTTTGTTTACTAAGATATCAACATCCTCTTTATGCAATTTTTACATGGCTGAAGGACATGTTTATAACCAATAGAGAGCAAATTCTCCTCTACATAAATCTTATAAGTTGTAGTTTAGATTTCTCAGCTTAAACCCTTAGCAAGCAGAAAGGTTTATTTTGAAGTGATTTATTTTGGTGCCCTGAACTCTTAAAAAAATTTTTAGACCTATTTGTAGTGTACTTAAAACATCAAGTAGATTATGATAGTTTTGGGACATCCTGGTCTTGTGACTGATACATTTTTTGCATTTTAAAATGCATATTTGAAACCTACACAAATTTATTTTTGGACACCTAACTTCTAAATTTTTTATTAGAGTGCAAAAGAGCTCAAGCACTCTGTGAAACATTACACTCTGCTATCATGTGGTGTTTATGTTAGCTCTATAGGGAACAATTTATAGGTTCAAGGGTGGTTTATTGATTATGATGCAAGGATTACAGCAAAAGAACCATGAAATTAAAATGAAATATTTACAATTTTTTTTTTTTTTTTGATATTAACTTATGGGTTAGGTGAACAAAATATGAAACTGTAATAAAAAATGAAATGCTTAACAGAAGGTTTTAAGAGTTTATGGTTTTCTGCTAGATTGCCAGTTTAACCCTATCTCGACGGATCACGTGTCAAAGGCCATGTCATCATATTTGTTGAGTTGCATTCAAAATTTTATTGAACTACTATTTTATGAATTTACATCAATAAATTTGGTACCAAACTTTAGATAATTCAAATTTTAATATTATACATTATTTAATTTCTTAATTTAAAAGTAAATATTAAAAAACACAGTTAAACATTGATTTTTGTGTGTCACGTGGTATGTTGAATGCAGCATTGGTTCAAATTAGATGTTTGTGATGTGAAAATACTAATTCTGTAGATTTTTATGAATTAGGAACTCAAATTACCAATATTGACAAGCTAGAATGTAAAATAAGAACCTCCTATCTTTTCTTTTCTCTTTGCTGACATCACTCATGGAATGACTCAAACACAGTGGCCTCGCTCACCTCTTTGCATTTTTGAAAGCAGTCCCTTGTATACACTAACTTCAATATATAATGTGAATAACCATATGAAAGCTCAGAATGTCCCCCTAATGGCTTTCTCAGCCATTTTCCAGTCTTAGGATGCCACCTCTTTCTTTCGAACCAAGATTTCAAGGAGGTAGGTTGTGTTTTTAGTCTGCTTGGAATTTCATATTCTTTTAGACCCAAATACAGCTTAATTACTAAGCTTGATAAATTATAGTGGAATTCTGTGGTATCAGTATAGTAATTTATGATTTTTAGGTTATTCAACTGTATATATATGTAAAACGTTAAAAATTATTTTGTTTCAAATCCTCCACGTGTAAAATTTTTAAAGGCTTAGCAACCTACGTCAAGCAGCAACTGAGTACAAAGGTTGTAACTACAAGAGATAATTGTTTGTTTTACTTCTTTATTTACTGTTCTGTGTTTTAAGAAAAATAAGCTTAAGAACTTATTTCTAAATAGTAATAATTTATATATATATATATGTATTATATAATAATGGAAATGTGACTGTATTTTACAAAATACTAGTCTACTAAAACAGCCAAGACAGGTCACTTTGTAAAGACCAAAGGTCAACTTTATAATATTTGATACAACAACATGAGAGCATGTGTGTCTCTTCATTGTAACTTCTGTATTGTTAGCCAGGCACAGCTGAAAGGTTAATATAATAAATATATATAAATGTATTATAATTATATTAGAAAAACACGTAGGTTCAAGAAGTCTTGACAGAAATGAGTAAAAACCCTATAACCCGAGTGCTTTCGAAAGGTGGACCTTTCTTCTTCAGTGCAAATTGGGAATCCCAGTTAGCTTCCGTGATATAGTCATCTTTGTTAAGAATAACAATAGCTCCACCCTTGTCTGCTAGCTTTGTTATGATATTGTTCGATTTAAGATTGTTTAAAGCACTTCTTTCATTTTGGTTAATATTATTAGGACATTGCTTGGAAGATTTTAAGGGCTGTATTATGTCATTTTCTACTGCTTTAATATAACTCTGTAAATGTGATTCTTTGTTTGGTGGAGATATCCATAAAAACTTTTCCTTAAAGTTCAGTGTATGTTGATTTTCAGTAGTTTGTCCAAGAAAGAAGAAAGGTTTGAAGAAGAAAGGTCCACCTTTCAAAAGCACTTGGGTTATAGGGTTTTTATTCATTTCTATAAATGTATAATGTTATGAGATTTTAGCTATTTAGTATAAACATTCATGTTTTTGTGTTATAATTCATTTTCATTCTAGAATGAATGAGGCATAATTTATATTTATTTCCTGATTTTTTTATGGTGTTTACAAGATCGGTCAAATCTACCGAACCCATACAGAGATTCTTTAGTGAAAATAACAGATAAAATATAAAGTTTTTTTTTTAAAAATGATTGATAAATATCTAGACATTATAAAAATTTTGCATGTGAAATTTGAAAATTTTCTGGTGCATAAAATTATTCTTAATCTTAAAATGAAAATTACTTTGCATGTTGGATACGCATCATACAAAAAGAGAAAAAAGGTATGAGAAAAACATTGCTTAACAAACTTTAAGACTTAATAAAAAAAATGTTATATCTTGCATATGAAAGCATTGTAATGTTTACTGTTAATCTGCCAAATTTCGTTAACATGCACTTACTAATTTAAAAGTTATAGCATGAAAACTATAACAAGCACAAAATGGTTACGAGGATAGTCTGAGGGACCAAGCCTGTGCTGAAAGAGTTAATAAAATTAATTGCTCAGCTTTAATGGCAACTCATTCCATAAATTAATCAACCTGTTAATAAAATGTCTTAAGCACGTGTCCTTTCATTTTCAGAATACAGCACAAAGAGGCTCTTTATCACAGAAATTTAATGAATTCAAATCTGATAAATCAGATTGATAAGGAACATTCTCAATTGATTGTAGATCATGCAATGTCGTCTTCATTTTAAGAATCATCCTAAGTTTAATAAGACAACTTACTAGTTACATTTAAAATTTCATCTAGTACACTCCTCAGTTTGTTACATAAATCTGAGAGTTTTATAACTTAACTCTTAAGTGGACCAAAGTATGTGGGAGTTTGATAATGAAACCATTATCCTTGTGAGTATGTGAGTACAAACTTGAACGAAGTCTGAAACTGCAAATGTAATCGATAAGCCTTGACAATTAACTCAATTATCAATATAATCAATTACTAATAAGCATCAGTTGCATTGAGTAATGAAAACTGCCCTTCAATTTAATTTGTGATTATTTTGGTTAATGTTATGAAAATAACCAACAAATAGCTATAAAGTAAAAATCTTGTAGTTTTAGTACCCTCCTAATTCTGTACATTTCTGGGTGATGAAATAGCCAAATTAAGGCACTGTGATCTAAAAATATGAATTTATGGATGTATATCCTTATAAATTTGGGCAATAATGTTCAAGAGATAGGGGCATTCTTTTTGTAAGAGAGAGAGAATTTGTATTCATTGGGATGTAAAACATAGCTAGCATACGAGATGATACCTTCAGTTAGGGAATATTGCTTTTAATGTGAGCTGTTATTAAAACCAGATGTAACAAACTGTGTGATTCATTTTTTATGAAGTGATGGTGAGTGATGTGTAAGGTAATGTATGATTGTATGCAAACAGATGCCTGTATATGAAAGAACCTGCTAGATTGATCTATCATCACAGTCTCATCTATCAAAAGCGCTTTTGTATTTATCACGATATATTTAATGTGATTACCAGGGGCGTCTAGAGCTAGCCCAAGCCCTGGGGTCAGTAATATCATTGGGCCCCTTTCATTCTGTTTATTAACTTTTGCTGAATGAATCCATGAAAAAAGCAGTAACCATTTTAGCTCATTAAATAGTATGCATTTCTAGTGAGCTTTGGAATATATCACTGCCGGGCCCCTCAACATGACCCAAGGTAGTTGCCCCCCTTCTCGTCAGCCCTGGTGATTACCTTTATTTTTTGGTCCAACATGCTCTTTACTATCAGGTACACATAAGGAAATCATACACACACAAAACAAAATACACACATATGTACCTTTTAATAATTTTTGTGATAAAGTACTCAGCCCTAATTGTTTGTCTTCCAAATGATTACCAAAATGTTATTTTTCCAGGGAGAAAGTGGAGCAGCAACAACATACATTTCAAGAAAGCAGGCTCTGAAAAAACTCCAGTTGTCTCTGAAAGATTTCAGGTACTGTTGAAATAATGAAAACTGATTAGTCACGCATTCTACATTGGAGACCTTAATTACGATACAGTACTTCCTCCCTCTCACAAGATTAGCTTTTTCCATTTTGTGCTGCCCTCTTTATGCACTTTTTTATAAAGTATGCCACAAGCCTTCCGCACCCCCTATTGGAATCAAAGATTCCAACATGTCTCTCAATCAAATCATCATGCGTCATCTCTCCACCATAGGAGAACACTACTATCATGTGACTCCCTCGATGCACCACTACTGAAATATCATTTCTCTGGGTGGTTTAACTTAATTTAATGTCCCTTATTTCAAGAACTTTTTGTCACTTTCTTTTTGAATGCTTTTGATTTACCCGTGTTTTGCCGCAAATTTTTTCTTGTTCATTTGGTATCAAGAATGAAATCCGAAGTAAATGTTACCACTTTGGGTACATCTCATTTGTCTGATGCCATGATTCAGACCACAGGTGCGGGGGGCCTGTCAGGGGATTTATCTGCCTTTATTTGCATGGAGGTTGAGCATAATATGGACAACCTTTCTTACCTGCTGTTGCTCATCTTCCTCCTGAGACTTTCAAGCCTAATAAGGATTTTGATCGTTTGTCCCTCCACTCCTTGGAGTTCACCGTGTCTTCTGAAACCCTATCTGAGGATTCTGTTTGGCCTTCGTTGGTTTCTCAGATTCTATTTCTCAGGTATGTGATGTTTTGTCTATTGCTCCTATTTCTTATGACCCATGTCCTTCCCTATTACATGATTCTGCCTCCTGATCTCATTTAGTTTTCCCCCATCCCCATATATTTGGGTTCACACTGAGCACTTGCCTCCTTATTAAGTGATGGCGTTAGTATGCCTCCTCCCCCACAGGCTTTCGGTCAGTCTGCCCTCACTTATCATAGGGACTGTTTGGGGGGCCAGACTCTAATCTCCCGTTAATCTTACACATGCATAGTATTCCTGCCTTCTTCTTACCCTGACGACTCTTTTGCAGTACCTCTCCTCGATGCACCTCCTGTATGAGGCTCTTCAAGAAACCCTGGGGAGTTTTCTAGGGACGTCCTCTCCCTCCTCACTTCCATGTTGGCCCACCTGTTGTCTTTGAATTTGGCCCTGCAGACATGGTTTATTTGTTGTTGAGACCTTTTGAGTTATGATGTCATATTTTCTCGGACCTGTCTCCTGGCTCCTTATCTACGAGACCTTCGTATAGCTCCGTTTTTGAGACATTTCTTGTTTGACACGATCCCGGAGTCTTCGGGGTTGAGGGTGGCTTTGGTCCAACAACAATCCACCCTTTCTTATCCGGTGGCCCTTTTGTCCCAGTAGGAGCCAAGCATGGCACAAATTCCTGTCTCCCAATCCTCCCCTTCATTGTTTTTCATGATGACACATGGTATGCCAATGACAGTCCTGGTGACTACCTGGTGGGAGCTCATCTTGTGACCTTCATTCATTGGTAGAGACCTTTTCATCTTCAATGTTTGGGTTCACAGACTTTTGTCAGAGGGATTCATCATACTATTTTCTTACCCTTCATCTTTTGTCCCAAGTGCTTGTTTCCTTTCTTCCTTCTCAGGATCTCTTGTCATGCCAGCATCTATTAGAGGTGGTGCAAGACCTCCCAACACAACAGGCTACCAAACCTGCTCCAAACGGTACCTAGGTGTTTTACTCCCACCTGATTGTAGTTCCCAAATAGACTGGGAACTGGAAGCTGGTCATCGACCTGCCCCTTCTCAGTCTATATGTTTACACCCCACACTTCACCATGGAATTCTACCTTACTCTTGGGTGGGCTTTTTCTCACACATTCCAAGCAGTTTTTGGCCCATCATACTCATCAGCACCTTCTAGAAACTGCTCAGTTGGGCTGGTTGATCAAATTGGAGAAGTCATTCCTTCATCCTACCCAGTAATTCGTTCATCTGGGAACCGGCAGGGCTTCCTTCAGGAGTTCATGTTTCTTTATCCCATGGGAACCCTCTTCTTCTCGGGATCTTTCTCCCTTAACCCTAATCATTCGGGTTTGTCGTTTAATCCAGTTGGCTTATTCCTCCTTGTCCACTTCCAACGTGCTTTGTTCCGTGTTACCTCCAATCAAATTCAACACCTCACCTTTTCCCTTGCTTGCCATCTTTGTTGGCCTTTGGAAGAGTTCCGCAGTCGGGCATGCGGATCATCCCTCAGACATTCATCTCTCATTACTTACGTGATGTTGTGGTTTTTGCATTCCTCTGGATATCAGCTACCACCTGTGGCTATACGTCAGACTTCGGTGCAGCTATAACACTAGGTAAGTCTTTATTAACGCTTTCTTTTCTTTCAGAGGCCCTTGCTTCGTATTTCCTCTCTTGGATCCCTCTCTGTGGCGAGTAGTGCCTGGCCAGATATTCTTTACATACATAAACAAATCCGAACTGTACGCCATGTTGATTCACACACTGTTTCCATGGCTCTGCATGCTCATTTTTGAGATGGGGTATTTCACAAGATCACTGGATGGTCAATGACCTTGTGATATTTACTTCATAAATATGCCTGTCCCAGACTGTATCACCCATGGATGGCATGGGTAAAGCAGAAGGGGATAGCTGCTCATCCCTGCCATGCCTCGATTGAATTAATCAGTATGATCTGCTTTTCAAAATAGAGTTTCATGATCATCCAATGCACTCCCTCCCTTTCTTTCAGTGGAGTATGGGAGTTCTTACCACTTGCCAGTTCCAAGCTACTGGGGCGGTTGACCATGGAGGCATCCTGCTGGATGGGTTCCACATAGATGGCTATAACAATTCAGTTCAGACTAGAGTGATGATGTTCTGCCAGTGTAGAAGGCATAAAATCTTCCAGATTGAGTGCTACATACCATGGAGTGTGATGTCTAAATGCAGTTCACCCCTTCGCTTGGGTGCCATAATCTGACACTCGTGCAGATGTCGGTACCCGCTGGCTGGTTTTGGATATTGAGTGAACCAATCAACTTAAGTCCTCACACAGGTTTTGGGTCGTCCATCTTCCTCCTCTGATTCTTCATTCTGTGTTGTGGTTCACAGGGGGTATACATGGGATGTTTCCGTTTCTATCCTGGGCACTCCTTTGTTATTTCTTGCGACGGGGATGTTATTGACCTTTGGACGTTTCGGACCTGTCACATGGTTGATTGCATGCAATGGACTTCCTTCGAATACCAATTGACACATTCCTGGATCACTGGCTCAATACTAATCCTGTCTCATGCCCTGGAATCAGTGTTTTTCTCACATACATGATTTTTGGGTTTGAAGTGAAGACAGTATGATCATCATCCTATCCAGTGAGGAGGTTTTAGTTGTAGTTGACTTAATGAATAAAGTCCTCTGTACTCTAGCCATTCTAAACCAATATGATGCATCCTCCATTACCCACTTTTCTTCTGTGGGATTGAGTGTGCATACTTATCCAGTTGGGATCACTTTCCTGACTTATCCTCTTCCACTCGGATGTGCCCCCTTCCTTTTCTGCCATGTTTGTTTTTAGAGGCTCATGGTGAAGAAGTGGTGCGGTGCCCCTCCTCAGATCATCTGATCTGTATCTCTCATCTACTGAAGTATTCTTCGGATGCTTTTGGGGGGTACATCTGTTCTTCCCTCGCACTGGTCCCTCCTCCTTTTCAATGTGGGGTTCTAGCTAATCTTGTGAAGGGAGGGAAGTACCTTATCAGATGTTATAATTGTTTTATACTGAAAATCTATTTCCAATAGGTACTTCCCTCTTCTCACACTTCCCACCCTCCTTGCCACAATCTTCCTGTGCTTACATCATGTGCCAAACTTCGAAGTGATGGTTCGGTAGTGGTGCATAGAGCGAGTCACATGCATCATGTGATAGTAGTAGTAGGGAAGTACCTATCAGAAATACATTTTCAGTATAGGAAAATTATAACTTTAGCTACTTTTTGTAGTACTTGTTCATGTGTGTTCACATATTTTAACATTTAACAACATTCCTTTTTTGCACATCTTTATAACATGTTCTGAAATGTATTTTTGGGACTTAAATATAGTTTTATTTTTGTTATCAAAGCTTACACAACATACTTGTGTTGCAATAAATGAATCCTCACCACCAGCACGACATAAAATAATTATTACTACTCTCTATCTAAGTACACCAGTATAATTTTAAATTATTTTCATTAATGTGTAATACCTTTCTATAGTTTCAAAATATCTCTCACTAATCTTTGGGTAAATGCAGAATAAAACCAAGCTTATTTCTCTTTCATTATACTATTTAACATCACCAAGGAGGAAATATTATTCCTTTATTTTACTGAGTTAACATTCACTATAAAGGTGGAATATTTGTGAAATGTTTTGATTTTTTACCCCTTCCAAATTTCAAAATATCAGTAGTGTTTTTTGCTTCTTTATTAACATAGTTTTAATTAACATTACAAACTTAAGAATCATTCATAGACTTGAAGCACTTTGCTAACCAAGGGATTTTACACCTTACATAGTAAACATACCAGCCATTTTTCCTCAGTAAATACCAATTTTAGTTTTGTTTTCTGGTGATGTTGTGAACAGTTCATTTGCAACAGTCATCAGATTCATCTGCATTATGGATGTTTTAGTACATGTACTTTCATCATATCACAACTTTTAAAATGACACTCATTAACCAATGCTTTTATTAAAGCATAATTAATGAAAATATTGGGTTATGAAGAACACTGTTTCAGGAACACATTAAAACTAGGCATTGCACAAAATATGTTTTATGAAATATGACCAGATCTAATGTTGTGAGGAATGTATCTCATTTACTTTTGGGTGATCTGTTACTTCCATTCACAGGAGGCTGTGCATATTGAAGGGAATCTACCCAGTTGAACCCAACAATAAAAAAGCCGTGAACAAAGGTAGCTCTGTTCCTAGGACTTTTTACTATTTGAAAGACATACAGTTTCTAGCACATGAACCAGTGATCCTAAAGTTTCGAGATTTCAAAGTAAGTTAACTTTCACATTGTCTTTGAAATATTTGTTATGTAATGTTAGATCCCAAAATGTTATTAGTAAAATTGTAGTAACCATTTGTTAGATTTGTCAACATATAGCTGTTAAATTATTTAAAAGTTTTGTTCCCAGTACTGTAAAATTTGAAGGTTTTCATATTGTATTGCTTATTTTTTCTTACAAACAATTTGTGTACTCTGCTGAATCATTATTATACTTATATTTTTACAAAGGAAACTAGATAGTAATGATATGTGTTACAATGTACTTACATAACATTGAAAAAGAATTGATCCCCATTTTGAAAGATTTTCCCTCCACTTGAGATTATTTTGTAACCGACACAACCAGTCATACAAGTGATAAAATTAAACTTGCAACTAATAAGGATGAGGCCAAAGTGATCAGTTAATAGGTATGGATATCTCGTGTATATAATTTAGGAATATCTGCTGAACTGTAATCAAAACAATTTATTTTTTAAGACATAGAAACTTACAAGATAGTTTGTATAATGTTTTAATTGAACATGTTTGATAACTAATATGAATGAATGATGTTGCTTTTGTATTTGTATGTTTTAAAAATATATTGTATATCACAAACCTAAACTTGTATCTCAATTTATGAATATGCTCAGATGCATGTTGTTCATACATGATATTCATTATTGCTGTAAATTATGTGATTTTCCTTTATTATTTAGGTGTTTATTAAAAAGTTGAGGAAAGCAATTGCAAAAAATAATCCTGACACAGCACAAAAACTACGAAATAACCAGCCCTTGTACAAGCTTGATCACATCGTTAAGGAAAGGTTGGGTATTAAATAGTTTTGTTTACATTTTTATACACTTTTTCAGTTCAATCTTTTGATTGTAATTTTTATTTTGTTGCCTAACTGAAGATATGAATAAGGCATTCAGTACAAGATCTCTGAAATGTTACAGATGCAGTGTATTGAATGTGTAGAATTCATATTTTTACAAACCTCATTTTGAATGTGTGTTATTGACACTTAACAAATTTTGTGTTGCTGTAACTTTTTGACCATTGTTTGCTTGTGATACTTAACAAACATGGAGTGGATATACATACCCATGATACAGTTAATATATTTGTATAAATAGTTTACAGCTTTTGTCACCATTTCTCTCCCTTGTTTAGCATAAAATGAAAGCCTGAGTGTGTGCAGGGTGGTGTAAAGTTAGCCCACTTAAACTACAAAACAATCCATTTGGTTGCTGAATAACATATGTTTTTAACTGGGTAATTAGTAGAATTTGATAATTGATTAGTCTCATGAGACCCGAATAGTTATGATAATAAAAACCAGCAATAATTGGAACACAAATTTCTATTTGTTGATTATTTCTATGAATTATGACTAATAGATTAAGTTGAACAACCAGGAATTAAACAAAAATTATATTGAGAAATAATCATGGTAATATCTTAATTACTTGGATAATTAGAATAGTTAAAAGCTGTAGTAATTGGAATTACTAATTTTAATTAGTTGTTTATTTTTGTAACATTAATCCACATTACTGATGCTAATAGGTAATTGAGTTAATTGCCCAGCTCTAATCATATTTTTATTTGTTTGCCATTAATTATACATTTGGCACTAAATAATTTCAGCCATAAAGCATTACTTTCTTTTTATTCTTACAATTGTTAAATCAATCTCAATTTGACCTTTTTGAAATTGAAAAGACAAAGTTTATTGAATTTCATCTTTTTAGATATAACTATTTTGATAAAAGTTCTAAGGCTAAGAAGTAAGATAAAACTTATTCTGTTACATATACATGTATGAACCGTATTTTATTTAAAACATTACTATAGTCGGATAATTAAATTAAAACTAGGTCATCCGGATGTCTCTTTCAAACTTAACATTTCAGAATTTTTTAAGATAGTTGTAGTCTGACACTTATTAAAGTGTGTGAAATGATTTGTAGAATTGTTTGGGTAGTATAGATGTTATTGTTAATCAGGATAAAACTGTTATATGCATAAATGTTTTCCTGATTACTTGGAGTAATATATGTAATATGAATAATAGTACATTAAGTTAATGTTAATACTTTTATATAAGTAATATTACAAAACAGTATTTCCTTTATTGTTAAGATTGAAATAAATACCAAAAAATTTGATGTTTGCAGAAACAAAGTGATCTCTAGTTAACCTGTTGTTTTAATATGCAGAATTTGTTTTCATTTAGTTATCGGTCATATATAATCTATTATTGTTATTTATATTCTGTATATAACTATGGCTTGTTAAATGGGAGGAGAAAGTTTCTCTTAGCTCTCAAATGTGTATTGATTTTATGCTCTTGTTGGTTTAACTAGTTATTGCACTTTCATCTAATAATAACAGTAATCATACAAGTATGTGGCTTTGTATTTGGAAATTATGTGGTAAATTTATTTCAATTAATTTAACTCTGGAAAAAACAATTATGCTACATAGACAGATATGTTTTTGTGTCACAAATGTAATGCAAGTATAATTACAATTTTTGAAAAGATACTATTTTTATACTTATTATAAATGGTTTATCTGGTTCAAAATGTAAGGTCGGACAGTATCTAATGTTAGAATGTGAAACCAGAAAGACTTTTTAAAAATACTTCTTCAAATCAGCTCATCTTTTTTAAAATCATTTTGGGCAGTTATGATGCACAAGATTGTATAATTACTCCTGTGATTTTGCTCAAAATTTGAGTTCAGAATATTGCAACCTGACACCTTATCTTAATACCAGGAGATTACCAAGTTGGTAAGTTTAGAGAGCATAGAGTCAGAAAAAAAGAGGAAAGGTCATTTAATTGTGTCCTTGTGTAGTACTTGTGTTACACAGATAATTTAATTTCATCTTATTAACATTTCAATTAGATTTGCACTAGTTATTTTTCTGTTAAGATACATTTTAAACTCCTATTTTAAGTGGCTGTAAAAAGTGAGTACATTATTTATCTAAACATTGTTTACTGTAATTGGTTAAGTAATTTTCAGTATTTGCTTACAGTTTATATATACTATTTGTTGTGTTTTGTATTTTATTATAGGTATCCAACTTTTATTGATGCAATACGAGATCTTGATGATGCCATCTCAATGTGTTTTTTATTTGCAACTTTCCCAAAGAGTCGAATCATACATGCCGAACTTGTTCATTTATGCAAAAGACTTACTGGTAAGTTGCAAGAAATAGTAGGCAATCTTTCCACTACAGAATAATAAAATAATTACAATTTTATCATAAAATTTTTTTTAATATTTTATTCCAACTACTTTATTGTTTAGGAATTAAAATCATTACTTAACTGAATAAAAAAAAAGAATGAAGTCTTTGCTTCTGTGTTAACTCAAAGGTAATTGTCATTTATCCAAGTTATATATTCATTAGTCTGTTGACCACAAATTCATATTTCCCAATGTCTCAAACACAACATAAAACTTTATAAGAACCCTATATATAAATACGTATGACTTCTAATAAGAACTGTAATACTCTGGGGTTAGCTCTGTTAGTTCTGTAGAATTCAATGTATATTTCTTATTAGTGATGACATTCTAGCCATTTTATGTGATTATCGTAGAGTTTGTTAGCTTTTCAATTTTTTTGGTTGTATTGCATTTGTCAATTTTATTTTTGTCCTAAAAATGTTAAATTATGAATTTAGATTACGATGTAGATATTTAGCTCCTCCATCTATTCTCAAGCTTGGCTGTTTGAAGGCTAGGAGAAAAAAAATTACTTTAAACTATTTTTAGAATTTTTTAAACTCTGCTAGCTCCCACCTTCTTATATTTTAACCTTCTCATTACGGGCGGATCAAAGTGCTCATATCACAACTTTGTAGAGAGTTACATTCAAAATTTAATTGAACTATGTTATTATCATTGTATACAAATAAACTTGGCATCAAAACATAGTTGATAAATCAAATTTTAATATTATATTTGTTTTAACTTCTTAATTTTATTAGGATGTATTATTTAAAAAACTAAATAAAAACTATAATAAATTCTTCATGAGGTATGCTCATGAGCAGCATGTGCATTACATACAAGATGATAACTTGAACTACACATTCACTGAGTGATTTACAACTTAGTGAAATTATTAGTTATACACAGATCAAAAGGCAATAAAATAATAAAATTTAAGTATACACAGATGTATACTGTTATGAGCTTTAAGCTATTTAGGAATAACAATTCTAGGGTGTGGTATACACAGATATTATCATTATCACCATTTTAACTTTTGTTTATTTGCAATTGATACCATTTATTATAAATAATGCTTTTAAACTGATAAAGTACAAAATATCATTACATAATGTTTTGGGGCAAATATAATTGGAATGAAATAAATTTCAACAATCAAAACTGGCACAATTATAACCTAAGTTTAAAGTACTCTTTTGTAACACACAACTTATTAAATTGTTATATTTGCTGAACAAAAATGTGGATAGATATAAATTATTTAGCAAGAAATGTTTTAATGAATCATTAAAATGGTGATAATGATGATAGTATATGTGTAGACTGCATGCTGTGGTGAAATATCTTTGTAGACCGCATGCTGTAGTAGTACCAATTGTAGTTTCCTGTTACAATTTGCAATCATTCTAGAAAGAAAAAAAGGGTAGTTTAAATTTATATTGTATTTGTTTATGGTGGTTGTCAGAATTTAAAAATCTATATTCTTTTTTTTTTTACTAATTGTCAAAATAAGAAGGGTTTTATATTTCTTAATAGCATAAATATATACTATGTTGTTGTTGGGCTTAGGATTCTTCTACAGTAGGTGTCTGTGATAAATTCAATGATGAATAAACAGCACACACTTTACTTGTTTTCAAAATAATATATATGTTCGAAACAAGTT